GCTTTTGCTGAGGCTGGCTTTGAACTCGTAATCCTCCTGCCTTAGTTTCCTGAGCTGCTGTGATTATAGGTGTGCACCACCACGCCTGGATGTTCTCTGATTTATTTTATTTTTTAATTTGTTCTAACTAGTTACATGACACTAGAATACATTTGGACACATTGTACACAAATGGAGCACAGCTTCTCCTTCCTCTGGCTGAACATGGTGTAGTCACACGGTAGTGTGATCATACATGTATATAAGGTAATAATGTCTGTCCCACTCCACTGTCCTTCCCATCCCCCAGCCCCTCCCTTCCCTTCCCCTCCCCTTCCTCTGCGCAATTCAAAGTTCCTTCATTCTTCCCCATCCACCCACCCCCCATTATAGATTAGCATCCCCGTATCAGAGAAAACATTTGGCCCTTGGGTTTTGGGGTTTCTCACTTAGCATTATATTCTCCAAGTTCAGCTATTTACCTGCAAATGCCATAATTTTATTCTTCTTTAAGGCTGAATAATATTCCATTGTGTATATGTACCAAATTTTTTTTTCCCATTCATCTGTTGAAGGATACCTAGGTTGGTTCCATAGTTTAGCTATTGTGAATTGAGCTTCTATAAACATTGGTGTGGCCACATCACTGTAGTACACTGTTTTTTAAGTCCTTTGGGTATGGACCTAGGAGTGGGATAAGTGGATCAAATGATGGTTTCATTTCAAGTTTTCTGAGCAATCTCCATAATGGTTGCACCAATTTGCAGTCCCACCAGCAATGTATGAATGTACCTTTTTCCCTGAATCCTCACCAACACTTATGGTTGCTTATATTCTTGATAATTGCCATTCTGACTGGAGTGAGATGAAATCTTGGAGTAGTTTTCATTTGCATTTCTTTAATTGCTAGAGATGATGAACCTTTTTTCAAATGTGTGTTGATCGATTCTTCACTTCTGTGAAGTGTCTGTTCTGTTGCTTAGCCCATTTATTGATTGGGTTACTTGGTTTTTCTGGTGTTAAGTTTTTTGTTCTCTGATCTTTTTATTTTTAATTTTTTTTAATTGCCTTCCGTTCTTTTCAGATGCCAGTGACCTGAGCACACTAGTGGCTATTTTTGTAGTTTCCTTCTCTAGTCTATTTCCTCTGCTGTGCTTGGTGGGGTGGTTGGCTGGCCAGAGACTGTCCTCTGATGCCTGGAGGGCCACTCTAAGGTGGCCTCCAGCATTTCTGGAGGGGCTGGGAGGGAGCAGGCTGGGGGTGCCCCAATCCATGTGCAGGCCTTGGCTCAGTGTCCTCCGTCGCCACCATCACCCCACCCCTGCTTCCAATAGGGGAACCCCAGCCTCTCCTGTGTCCAGTCCAGAAACCCTGTTTAACCAGCTGCAGACACAAAACCTACAATCTTTGGTTGAGATGGAGGGAGTAACCACCCTGAGGCCAGGAGTGCAGAAGGGGATTTAGGAACCTGACTTCTTAAACTTGCAAAGGAGCCTTAAGCCCTTGCCTTTCACCATGCTGGCCTTGGGTCTTAGGGATTCTACCATCCAAATTGGGCTCATTCTTCATTTCTCAGACTGCTGATGTACTCGGTCAGTGCTGTGATTTTAATATGGGTAGAGTCCCCCCAAGGTTTAGGTGTTAAAGGTTTGGTCCCAGGGTGGTGATATTGAGAGGTACCGAGGACTGGGAGGAGGTGGGGTCTAGTAGGAGGTCCTGAGGCCTTTAGGACATGCCCTCAAGAGGAATTATGGGACCCAGGCTCTCATCTCTCTCTGCTTTCTGGTCCGTTTTGTAAGAGGTTTGCTGTTCCATGCATTCCTGCCATAATGCATTCATTACCTTTTTCAAAGGTAAAAAAGCAATTGGGGCCACCTGATCTTAGACTGGACTCTCTAGAATTGTGAGCTAAATAAGACTTTTATTCTTTTATTGCCTCAGGTATTTCATTATAGTAATATCAAGCTGACTGATACAGTGAGTCACTACACATCCATGGGCTCTCTGTTTGCATCTCCTTGGTGGCTTTCCCTATGGGTTCATGTCTTTTTCTGACACAGAAGCAATTGGATGTTGTGTGAAATGAGTTCTGAATGGTGAGTAGAATTTTGCAAAGTATTGATGGGTAGGTGGCATGACAACTGGGGAAAATAATGGGTGCAAAGACAAAAGCAGGAGCACTTTAGCATATTTAGAGAACAATAAAAAAATTCAAATGGGCTAGTTTCAGAGATACTGTAGGAAGGCCATTGGTGTCATACTGTGAATGACCTTGAATACTTAGCTGAGGATCTTAGAGACTCAGTAGGCAAAGAGCTGCTAAGGCTTCTTAACTGTGCAGTGGCTGGTTGAGAGCTAGTCTTGGCTTGGCCGGCTTCATGTTGTGTCTGGATCTGTTCCAACACTACTCTATCTAAGGGCCCTTTCCTCAAAAAGTGGATTCTTCCCTGTGACTTCAAATTGCCACGTGCACTTGGTTTCCTACAAAGCACTTATCACTGGTTGTGATTTCTGTCTACCAACCACATTCCACAGTGGGGCCAGGGAATATTCTGTTCACCCTTTCCACTCGAAGCCCTTGGCACCCTGCTCGGCCCAGTAACTTCTCACAAAATGTGCAGACATCTAAGAGAAGCTTCTGACAGACGGTTCAGTACCTTGTTCAAAGCTAAGCCAAGGCTTATGTGAGAGTATCAGTTCATAGAGGAGCTGTGAGATGGGAGGCCAGGAAACAGGTCCTGGCTATTTACCACCAGCAACCTGGGTGACCTTGGATAAGTTGCTACCATTCAGACCTGATTTTCTCATCAGTTAAAATACAGGCTTTCTGTTGCTGACCGCGGGGTTCCCTTCAGAAAGAGTGCATCCCTCACAGGGAAAATGAGGGGCTGATTGGAGGAGAGAGAGGGCCTGACTAGAGGGGCGCCTTTTGGATTGTTCTAGGGGGAATGTAATATAATTGATGTGAAGCGAAGGATCCGGTTTTAAGAGTTGCCTCTGACCTCTGCACCGCATTTGATCCCTTTGGACCAATAAACCTTTCCAGTGCTCGCTCTATTTCTTTTGCTCAGAGCCTTTTACCCCTCTAAAAGGCATGGAGATGTCTATGCCCTGTGAGTGGTTCTTTTCTCATCTGACTCTCTGAAGTGAGATGTAGTTCTCCAAGTCAATACTCGTCTCCTCACTGCCTTGATCTTTCAACTGCAGGAATCCGGAGCATTCTCTCCCCTTCGCACAAGGCTGTCATCTGTAGGGCCTGCTGACTGTGCCTCGCTGCGGCATCCTGGTCCCTAGCACAGGGCTTGTCACAAAGCGGCATGCAGAGTTGTTTTGTTGGCTAAATAAGTGATACCCCAAGCCTTCTCACCTCCCACCCCACTAGCCGTCATCCATTCCCCACCTGCCACTCTTCCTCTCCCCTCTGTCTGCCTGGCCAGGTGCTGTCAGTATCTAGAGGCTGCTCACTGACACGGCCCTCCAGGGCTGAACCTCCTCAGGGTGTGGTTGATGTTCCCATTCATGGTATATGTGCTCCCTGCACAATATTTTAGTTATTTATAAGCTCTTCTCTTCCCCTTGACCTCTGCAGCTAGTTAGCTCCCTGAGAGCTTGAACTTGACCTTTCTCTTGTCTTCCCTATCAAGTCATAGGAGTCCAATTATGAGCACTATGGTAAAAAATAAGAATAATAGAATCATGGACCATCTGAGCCATGTTTTAGATTCTAAGGAATTATTGAACAATGAAAATAATACTAGATGAAAAGTGGCTAACAAGATTATAAATTGAGGGTTGGGATTGTGGCTCAGTGGTAGAGTGCTTGCCTTGCCTGTGTGAGGCACTGGATTCGATCCTCAGCACCACATTAAAAAATAAATAAATAAAGATATTTGTAACTAAACTAAATAGAGATTTTTTAAAAAATATATATATAAATTGAATCACTGGATGTATGTAACTATTCCAATATTTTGTGGTTGATTTGAGGCAAAGTTCATTATATTGTTATTTCATATTTGGGATTGAAATAAGAGCATTTCTTGAAAAATTGGTGTCTATAGATAGCAAATTATTCTAATAATCATAAAAAAGTTGGTAAAAATCTTAACATTTGCTGTTCCTTCTTAAGTTGTATATAATGTTTTCCTTATAAGCAAAGATAATTTTTGAATCATATATATTTTTTTGAAATATTGTACATTGCATTTACTCATTGAAACTTCACTTGATATATCTCTAAGGAGAAAATTCCTTCCCTTTTTTATTTTTTCTTGTTGAAACTGTACCCATCAGGGAAGAGGTGTGCTATCATGTGGTATTAATCAACCCTAAGAACTACTAAAGTGTCTTGGTCTGTCCAGGCAGCTTAACAAAATGCCTTAGACTCGGTGACTTATAAACAACAGAAACATATTTCCCACAATTCCAGGATCAAGGCGTGAAGAGATTTGGTGTCCGAGAAGTGCCCCCGCACCAGATGGCCATCTTTTCACCATGACCTCATTTGGATGAAGGGACACAAAATCTCCCAGGGATCTCTTTTGTAAAGGCATTGATGAGTCCCATTCACAAGGACGCTGCTCTTGGGACCCAGTCGCCTCTCCAAGGCCCCACCTTCTGACCATCACCTTGGGGATTAGGCTTCAATGTGAGAACTTTCAGGGGAGACACAGACCAGGGTAGATAGCTTTTGGTTATTGAGCAGTTCCAACATGCCCAGCACGTGATAAACAGTTTACATGTCATGACTTCATCTCATTACAATATTATTTTATCAATGCGATAAAATTTCAGTGAGATTTTTGTTGTTAATTGATTATGAAGTGCCAGGAGCGGGGTTGTTTAACTCAAGCCTAAGGAGTTTCAAACCGCTTGCCTGCCTGGCCAGGAATCCATCCCCCACAGGGCAGCCCAGTACCCCTAGGCAGATGCTGTCTTTTGTTACCTGTCACATTCCTGATGCAAACTGGCCGTGACAAGGAGGCAGTGTGCAGACCTCAACTTCAACATTTTTGTTGTTGCAGGGAGAGAAGTTGAATGGCTAGAGGGACCTAATGGACAGTCTCCCCAACAGGTAAGCTATTCTACTTTTTTTTTCTATGCACTGGGGGGAAAGTGTATTCTTTCCACTTTTTATTAAATTTTCTGTCACTTGGTGATACAGGTTTTTTCACTACAGTTTTTATTCCCTAAAACATTAAAGCCAGTAGACAGAGCAAAGTCTGCTTCTTTCTGGCCCCTTCAGGTTTGAGAAAAATCCTGTTTTCCCCCTTACTCTTGTTGCTAGGGGAGAGGATTCTAAAATGTGTGATGAGCCATGACCCAAGAAAGCCTTCACACAAAAGATGGCCGGTCAGTGGATCCCCTCAGGCATTGTGGAATTTCTCCAATAAAGACCTTGCCCCAGGACAGCGGCTCTCAGCCTATCCCAGGACCAGCAGCAACAGCCTCAATTGGGAACTTCTTTTTTTTTTTTTTTTATTGTTGGTCGTTCAAAACATTACATAGTTCTTAATACATCATATTTCACAGTTTGATTCAAGTGGGTTATGAACTCCCAATTTTACCCCGTATACAGATTGCTGTATCACATCAGTTACCCTTCCATTGATTGACAAATTGCCTTTCTAGTGTCTGATGTATTCTGCTGTCTGTCCTATTCTCTACTATCCCCCCTCCCCTCCCCTCCCCTCCCCTTTTCTCTCTCTACCCCTTAAATGCAGTGTCTCTGTCCCCACTCCAGGGCCACTGGATCTGAAGCTCTGGGGTTGATGCTCAGCTCTCCAGTGGGTTCTAGTGTATTGTCAAGTTCAGGTACCAGGACACAGGCTCACAGACCTCCCTCCCCGTCTTCTCTGTGGCTCTCCTCCCCAGCTCCCTCACCATTTCCATCTTTAGCCCACCTTGCAGGACAGTGTTCTGTATATTTTACTCCTGTGGATCCAACCTATTTCCTCCTTTACCCTGTGTCTCTCAAACATACTGTGCACATTGTCCTTGTTCTCTTTGCCAATTCCACGTCCTCAAGCTGCCTCCTTGTGCAGAGCCTTAGCTTCCTTCGAGGTTCCTGTCGTCTTCCTAGTCTATCATCATTTGGGAACTTTCCAAATGCTCCGTATCATTCAGTACCGTAAGTTCCAAGCCTCCTTGACTTTCTGCACTCCAGCCATCCTCACTGGGCTACTCCTGCTGCAGCTTCTTCCTGGACATTGTCATTAACTGCACACACTAAATGCCTAGCTCTTAGTACTCCAAACTTCTCAGGCTCCAGAATGCCAGGTCACTATTTCATTCTCTATCTATCTCTATTTCTATCTCTATCTCTATCTATCTATCTCTATCTCTGTCTCTGAGTCTCCATACATAAGGATCTCCACCAGAAATGTTTCGGTAGATGGTTGTATATGCTATGGGAAAGACTGCCCTTTATTTCATAAGGTTCTCAGTAGTTTTGAGTTACCACCATCAATGCTCATAATTCACTGCACTCATGTTCTATAAAGCTGCCTTAAAGGATGAGTCAGTGAATAAGGAACAGTATTGCTCACAGAGGAAACACGGGCTGAGCTTCCCGTGAGTCTCTCCTCACCACATATTCATCTACTGATCCACACAGAACCTTGTGTTAGTGTTTCTGTTTCAAGACACCTTATTTTAAAATATGCTGTTAATTCATGAGCAGTGAATTTTGGGCTGACAGCACCATGACTCATTCCTGAACAAAGCTTCTCTAGCACTTGTCCTTCCTCTGTAAGGCATGGACCCTTAGACATAGAGACCACCAAAAAAAAAAAAAGCCAAAATGTGGTACTAAATAGATTGCAAAAAAGACAATTTACAGCATAAAAGTTGAAGCAAGGAGACAGGATACCTTATTTGAGCTCAGCTAAAAACATGCATATCAGATGACCGCCATTTTTTGACAGTCTGAAAACTTCCATGAATGATTTACAAGCACTATATTGATTTAGGGTTACAAATATATTTTATTAAGTAGGCAAATTTAAAAATATGGATTCCACAAGAAATGAAGATTAAGTGTATATGTAACATTAATACCTTATATATAAGAAGCTCTCTGTAAGTTTGATGTTTTTATCGTCATCTTCATTATTATATGTTATTAAATATCCCCAGGGCATTGGATACCTCTGAAAAGTTTTAGGCAGGGGGAGTGACAATGATTCAGATTTGTAATCTGAAAAGATCTCATGGCTTCTATGTAGCAATTGTATTAGAAGGACACATGGGTGGATGCGGTAACAGGAGGATATTGCAGTATCCAGGTAAGACAGATGTGATGGTGTCTTAGACTAGGACAGTGGCAATGCACATGGAAAGAAGGGATGGATTTGAGAGTGACAGTGGAACGTGGACCATTCCTGCCTCTGCACCCACTTCTCCCTAGGGTGCACTCTGGAACCTACCGGCACCATTGGCTGAGACCTTCATCCAGAAGACTCTTCTAATCACCCTAAGGTCATTCAGGAGCTCCTTATCCTATATAGTCTATTGTGCATATTTCAGTCTAGTACTTTTAACACTTTATTAATCTCCTATGTATGTATTTTTCTCCCTTGCTGGATGGTAAATGCTTTTTAGATGCCTGGAATTAAGTTAAGTATTTGGACATGATAGATGTTCAGGAAATTTGTTGCATAAATAGGTGGTGAGACCTTTAAGGAACAGCAGCAGTCCTCTCCCTCTCTGTACCCTCTCTGTCTAGTAATTAGCGGTGTCCTACCCCCACCAAGAGTCTGGGAACATTTGAAGCCTCTGAACCATGCTCAGTCTTTCCAGAAATAAAAGTACTTTTATTCTACCTTAAAGACATGTCGGAGCTGCAGGTCTGCACACAAAGGATCATCTCTAAGTACAAAACAATTTTTTTTTCCTTCTCCTTTTGCCAGTTCATGCTTTCAGCCTTGAGTTCAGAGGCACCTTTATAACATAAGGTGGTTGGCGGGGTATCGTCTAAGATTCTTTTTGGTCTGGGCACTCTGTCATCTACTCAGGCTGATGGAACCAAATGCCAGAGCCTGGGTGGCTTAACAAGAGAAACTCGTTCTTGCATAGCTCTGTCAGCTGGGAAGCCCAAGGTCAGGGTGCTGGCCAGTCCAGTTCCTGGTGATGGTTCTCCTCTCAGCGTGCAGATGGCCATCTTATCACAGCATCCTCATATGGCCTTCCTCAATGCTACTCGTGGAAACAGATCTCTCTCACTCTCGCTCTGTTTTCCTTTTCTTATAAGCCTACCAACCCTATTGGATTAGGATGTCACTCTGGTGATCCCATTTTAACCTTAACTACCTCCACAAATCCTTATCTGCAAATACAGTCACATTGGAGTTAGGGCTTCAACATGTGAATTTGGGGACAAGGGTACACATCAGTCCAATGAAGGTACTGTAGGATTCTGGAAATTACCTGAGTTGGCTTCGTCCAAACATGTGGCTTGGATTGAGCTGTGCCTGCCTTTTTAAAAATATTTTTAGTTGTGGATGGACATCATACCTTCATTTTATTTATTTATTTTTATCTGGTGCTGAGGATCAAACCCAGTGCCTCCCACGTGCTAGGCAAGTGCTCTACCACTGAGCCACAACCCCAGCCCCTGTGCCTGCTTATATCACTATTCTTGTTTGTAGCTTTCCAAGACTGCATTATATAAGCCTCTTTCCACAATCCCTTCCTTAAATAATGTCCTCATCATTTTCAGGACTTGACTTTTCCCAAGTGCTTCAGGATTCTTCTAGGCTTCTGCCATTTCCAATAGAGCAGCTTGAGGGCTTGGAAAGACCCTGTCTCAAAATTTTAAAAATAAATAAATAAATAAATAAAAATAAGGAAAGGGCTGGGTGCATGGCTCCCATGGTAGAGTGCCCCTGAGTTCAATCCCCAGTACTGCAAAAAAAAAAAAAAAAATCAATTAAAAAATTAAACCTGCTCCTTGCCAGACTCACTTTGCCATACCTGTCACGTTTATATCATGTGAAGCTCGTAACAACCCTAAGAGGTGGGGTGTTACTATTTCCCCCATCTAATGGTTGGCAGAACTGAAATGGAAAGATGTTATGTGGCTTATCCAAGGTCTCTTTCTCACAGGCCGCTCCAGAGCCCACTGCCTTGAGTAGGGGACAGTACTAGGTTACCTCTATGTACTGAATTTCTTAAATTCTTCCTCCACTTCTTCTAAATCCCACTGAGGGAAAAAAGAAACCCAAAACAAAGCCAAAAAACAGTATCTTCTCTCTGTACTCACATAGAGCATCACTTCCGACAGCAGACGGTGGGGGTTGGGAAATGCACATGGAGCTGTTCTCCACCCCTGGACACCTACTAAGTGTCCTACAATGGAATTCAATTCCAGTTCTGCCTGCCTGGAGTTGGTTAGCATCAGATGCCACAGTTAAGGGCTCAGGCCCACAAAACTGCCCCCACTGCAGATGCCAGTTCCACGTGTGGACCCCTGAACTCCTCTGGACACCAAGACACCCTACCTCAGGTTCCATAATTTGCCTGAATGGCAGATAAATGCTTTTCTTACCTTGGCTGGTGTGTTGCAAAGGGTATTAAAGGATACACATGAACAGCAGATGAGATATAGGGCAAGGTCCAAAAAAGACCCCACTGTCCCATGGACTTGGGGTGCACCACCTTCCCATACATGGGTGCAATTTACCAATCTGGAAATCCATGGAATCTGATTATCCAGGATTTTTTACACAGCTCAATTTCCAGCCCCACAAAAACATCATACACACTTCACAGAAGTGGTGAATGGAACTAAAAGTTCCAACCCTGTAAGTACTTGCTCTTTCTGGTGTCTGGTCCCACCCTGAGGCTATCCAAGGGCCTCACCCAGAAACACTTCACTAGTATAAACTCAAGTGTGATCAAAGTGTTAGGGGTTGTCAGAGATACCCCTTTGAATCAGGATATTCAAAGGGCTTAGCAGCTCTGCGACAGGAGCTAGGAGACAAGGGCTAAATGTATTTCCTATTACACCACAACTTCCTAAATAATTTTGTGTTCTTTGACCAGTCCTTCTGGTAGTGCAGCCATAGAAAACAT